AGGAGCCCTGTCCTCATCCGCCACCCCTTGCCAGCGGCACTGTTCAGGATCTGTTCGAGGACTGGGCCCCCCAATGCTGGTTTGGGGTTTAGGGTTTAGAGTTTGAGGCTTCAGGGTACCTAAACCTCAAACAGAGCTCCTCTCAATCTCCTGTGGAAGCGCTGTATGAGGGGAGCTATCCCTAGGCAGAGCAATACAACGAACAACCTTGGTGACCTGCGTTTGAAACCCTAAACCCTAAACCCTGAACCCTAAAACCTAAACCATAAACCCTAAACCCTAAACCGTGGCCCCGGCAACCTCCTGAGCACCAAAGCACTCGAAGCAACCCAGATTTCCAAATGCCTGCACCATGCTTCGTTGTCCGGACCCTATGTTATATCATTGGCCTATTGGCAGTAAAGTGTGTGTGGTTCCTTAAACCCGAAACCCCAACCTTAAACTTGAAGCTTCTCATCGAAACTTCTAGCTCCTGGAAGCTGTTGGTACCTACAAGCATGTCCTGCAGAACGTTGCAACGCTGGCCTTCTCATTCTCCATGGTCTTCGCGGTGTTCCCAGTGGTCCCCTCAGCAGGAAAGGCAGCATGTGTTTCACAACTTGCAGAGCATGTTCTTGATTTGTAATGTTGGACCTGCTTTAATAAGTTACCCCCCCCCCCCTCAACAGTCGCGAGCCTGAATAAAAAAAGACCCCAAACAGTCGGGGGGGGGGGGGTCCGGAGCCTCCCTAAGCTACCCCGCGACCCTGGAAAGGTCGAGGCTTCAGGCTTCAAGTATCCCTTCTTCTCGAGAAAGCTTATGCCTTCCTGAAAACCGAAGGACTGAGCCCTTGGCCCCGGGAGACTTGCATTATAGCGGGCCCCCAAACAAAGGTATTAAAGTGTGTCCGGAGGCCTCCGTAAGGTACCCCCTTTCCGGATATGATTCGCCTATGGAATCATCTAGTTTTAAGTAAGGAATTTATAAAGAAAAGGCGCCCTGAAAAAAGAAGATTGTCGGAGATCCTGGACAGGTCGAGGAGGGCTTCAAGTATCCCTCCTTCTCGAGAAAGCTTATGCCTTCCTGAAAACCGAAGGACTGAGCCCCTGGCCCCGGGAGACTTGCATTATAGCGGGCCCCCAAACAAAGGTATTAAAGTGTGTCCGGAGGCCTCCGTAAGGTACCCCCTTTCCGGATATGATTCGCCTATGGAATCATCTAGTTTTAAGTAAGGAATTTCTAAAGAAAAGGCGCCCTGAAAAAAGAAGATTGTCGGAGATCCTGGACAGGTCGAGGCTTCAGGCTTCAAGTATCTCTCTTTCTCGAGAAGCTTATGCCTTCCTGACACCCTCAAAAAAACAGTCACGGCCCGAAATCTTTTCATTATAGCGGACCCCCAAAACAAAGGGTCCAGATCCTGAATAGCCGGAAAAC